CCCCCCAGGGATTGGCTCAGTGTGTTGCGTGCTCTTGTAAATAAACGTTAAAATAAACCATACATTGTGTTATTATAATCCGCAATTAGCCCACTTAAACTAGTGAAACCTGCCTTATATTATATTTCTCTCTATTACCTCTGTTGTTGTTTTTTTTTTCTTTCTTTAAACATGGACCATGTAGTGAAGAAACTTTAATTTGTGGTTTCAGCGTTACAGAAAGAACATTTTCTGTGCCCGGAGCAAACTTAGGCCTAATTTAACCAAAATGTGGCAACGCCCGTTTATTCCCCTCGGTTACATGGGAGAATGTGATTTTGCCGCAATAGGAACCATTGTCGTGGCAATAGCTCCATAACATGAACAAATATTGTGCTATTTTTAAAGCAAGTTCCAGCAACTTCCGCCTTTCAGGATGATGGCTGCTGATGTTTTGGATTGAGTGTCAGAATTTGTACAATGGAATCTAATGATGAACGTAAAAAGAAACTGGAAGCAGGAAAAGAGAAGGTAGGCCATTTTTCTATGCGTATGCTACTACTGCTTCTATTGATGTGCCCAGTTCTTGGGTCGATCGTAGAGGAAACTTATTTCAAGCTAAGTGGTGTGGCTGTGTGCAACTCTACTACAAGCAAGTGCAAGTAAACAAAAACCCAAGTTTGAATTGACTTACGCATAGAGACTCTAAAGGGCCAAATCTAGACTAGAGTTGTGAAAATTCTCCAGAGCTGTAGGCCTAAAATGATTTCAGAGTTCTGCTGTTTGATGGCTTGTTATGTGAAATTAGGCTTCCTTGAAATTACCGAGATTCTGAGCTCCAAAGCCAAAGAGACTTCATAATTTCATCATTGGCCTGCCCTCGGCCAGGCTGTTTACACACGCACTTCAGTTGAAGTTGCCTTCGCCTTCTGTTGATGATGGCTGTGCTCAAGTCAGTTTATTAGTAGTATGTATCTTATAATTTATCATCCTAAAAAGAATCTGGGGGGTTTCAGGGGGGCATGCCCCCCTGCATTTCACAATGATTTGATGTTTTTGCAATTAGCTAGGATTGATATTTCGGAAATCTTGAAAACAATTTATTTGCAAGGGTTTTAGTGGCTGTTTTTAGCCCTCAAATCAATGCATCTAGAATCTATGTGTGGGTGCATATATATAAGTAAAAATTTACCGCTGCAATTATTTACTTCTTGAACCATTAATTAGACAGTAAAGTTGAGTAATGACAGCATGCCATGCATAGAAATCTAGTCCAAGTCCAAGTCAAAGCATTGGTTTTTTTGGCAACCTTCCAGTTTGGGTGTTCTCATTTTTATCCACTTCTAAATTCACCAAAAGAGTCCTTTGAGATGCTGTATTTACTTAATTTTATTTAAACACTGTCCTTGTATGACTACACTCAGTGGACAACACTTTCAGAAAGTGTATAAATCTAGTCTGCTGTATTGTAGTCTAGTTCTTGCTTAATAGAACATTTAGCCTACTCAAACTAAACAAGGTGTAAATGTAATGATTTGAGGACAATCTGAGATGTTCCTATTTTGATTAAAAAATTTATTAAGGCCACCCGTATCAATATTCTCACCCCTGGTGAGAATTGCTCAGGACCCGATATTCTCACCCCCACCCCGGTGTGGGCATGAGGTGAGGACTCACCCTTGACCTCTCGCAGGAAGATAAAAATCACCTTGGCCCAAGATGGCTTACCGCATGGGATTGGGAAATGACTCTCATGAGTGCTTGGCGCTTGTTTCCTCATGTAGCATACATGATGGTTTTCAGCGGATCTGCGTAATACCAGAGAGGAATTTCCTTGCTTTTCCTCGGATTCCTTGCCTTCCGCGATTTGATGATGGTTGCCGTATCCGCGGAATTGCGAAATGGTATATTTAAAGATGCACGACTTCGCCAGTGAACTCTTCATTTGGGAAAGATTGCAGAAAGACTCTTTTTAGATTCATTTCCGGCATAAACAGACCACATAAGGAGTGTTACAAGTGCTCTTGCATTATTTCTGGAGTCTTTGTACACCTATTCACCGTGTGGTGAGATTAACAATTTCAGTGGAAGAACAGTAGTTAATCAGGAGTGTGGAGAAAAACTGAATATTGTTTAAATTATTACTGCTGGTGTTAGAAACTTAGATCTTGACTTAGATCTAGACGGGCTGTCGCATCCCCGGCATCGTCATGAAGACTCTTGACGTCTTGACAAAAGTGAAGTAGGGCGCACCAAGGAAATGGACGCTTAATGTGAAAAATAAATTTAGGTTTGAGTGGTTGGAGACACCTTTGAAATTAAAATCAAAAGAAACTTGGTGAATTGGATGTGAAACTTGGAGATGCCATTGCTAAGTTGGATATTGCTGGCAAAGCCCTTTATTCATGTATTGCAATGATGTGATAAGCTATGATGGTGGAAAAGCCAAGGTTGCCTTAGTTGATCATGTTCAATCTACAAAACCTGTGTCTCGAGAAGAACATAGGAATTATACTCTTGGTGGTCAGTTCTCAAAGGAGACTCAAGAAACACCCCTTTTCCCTTTATTTAGACCTTCTAATAAATCTTCTGCTGGTTCTTCTGATGAACATTCGACTTCTGCACCATCCCCAAGTCAGCCACGTCCCCTCAAGTTTTTTTAAAGATGGGGTTTTTTTAATGGGGAAACTGGTGTAACGCGACATTTTCCTCCTTTTTCTCTTTTGGCCACCATCATCACTGATGTAGGCCAACCACTGATTACCGTTGCATTCTATTAGCGTTTAAAATAAAAAAATAAAAATCATAGCCTTCTTAAAATTAGGCAATATTAATTAATTATGAGTACAGATAGGTATCA